TATGTAATTTAAAATGGCTCACCAAGATGGTCTGTAGTCCAGAGATCTTGGAATCTGTACTGATATATAAAAATATATCAAAGTACAGATAAAGATATGAAGGCATTTGATGTATTTTATGAAGAAAGTATGAACTCAAACTTATTCCTTGAATTAACAACACTAACTAAGTCACCTATACACTGTTTATCCCTGTGTTTCCTCACCATTTGGTTTATTTTTCTTTAATTTGTTATTATTATTATTATTCAAAGGATCAAGGCCTCATGGGTGCTAGACAACATTCTAATACTCAGAGATACACCCTCAGCCTTTCATAGACCATTTTATGTTTTTCTTTCTCAATTTTCATTCTCTTTCCCCTTTTAATACCTATAAATTCAGGTTTGGAAATTTATGAACAAGATAATATTTAAATTCATTAAATATTAAAATATTTAAGTTAATTGCTCAGGTTGCTCTATCCCTCTCACCTTTCATCTTTTCTTCCCACTTCCTGTAGTGGGTTGAATGGTACCTGTTTCTACACCTCACTTAAAAAAAATACAGGTTCATTGCAAATGAATTATAGAATAATTTGGAAAAGAGTATTTGGAGATGAGATCGTCCTGGATTAGAATGGGTTTTAAATCCAGAGACTAAGTGTCTTTATAAGAGAAGACACCAGAGAGGAAAGATTCAGACACAGAGAAGGACCTATAAGATGGGGGCAAAGGGGGCTGGGGATGTGGCTCAAGCGGTAGTGCGCTCGCCTGGCATGCGTGCGGCCCGGGTTCGATCCTCAGCACCACATACAAATGAAGATGTTGTGTCTGCCGAGAACTAAGAAAAAATAAATAAATGTTAAAATTCTCTCTCTCCTCTCTCTGTCCCCCCCTCTCTCTCACTCTCTCTTAAAAAGAAAAAAAAAAGATGGGGGCTTCAGGAGTTCTGCAACCTGAAGCCAGGAAATATCTGAAGCCCTCAGAACCTGAAAGAGGCAAGGAAAATTAAGAATTGTGATGCAAAAAAAAAAAATCAATAAGAGAGCTCATGCATAGTGGAATAATTTGCTATGAACATACTTTATATACAGTTATGAAAAATTGTGCTGTGAATGGATAATTATGAATGTAATGCATTCCACTATTGTCATGTATGAAAGAATTAAATTAAAAAAGGAAATATTCTCCCCGGAGTCTCTAGAGGAAATATGTACCCGTCTACACCTTCACTTCAGACTTCTGTTCTCCAGCATTCTGAGACAAGAAATTTCTGCTGCTTTAGGTCACCAGGGTGTGGTCATTTGTTTGGGTTGACCTAGGAACCAAAAACACTCCCTGAGCCTCATGTTGGCTGAAAGTTCTGGGCACATATTTTCCCATCCTTAGGCTCCATCAGCCTACCCACCCTTCCTCATGTGGTCTCAGGTTTCTTTATCCACCTAGGTGAAAACATTTTAAGTTGCTTCAGTATTTAACATTTCAGTTTGTAGAGGGTTGTCTGTCCCTGCTCCACTTCCTCACGCCTATCTGTTTCCCCTTTGTCTCTATCCACTTTTCTCTTAATATTGGCACAAAATCTATATTTCATCCATTACTTTCTCCCCCAGCCCCAAACATATTTTTAAACTTGCATATTAACTATTGCATATTAAATATGATCTTCTTGTCTCTGTGTCTACTATGGTACCATTATTGTCTCCAATCCCCATTCAGCCTAATCAGAGATGCCCCAGAAACTACCAATGGTGCTATCATTTTTTTAGGGAAATGGCTGAGCTCTTGCCAGGTATTCCTTATCTGGAAGCTAGAGCTTATTGTGGCAAATAATTTTCTACCCCTTGTTCTAACTAGCTGGAGTCCACAGCTTCTATCAAGTGTTTTGTGTTTCTACAATAGAACATGCATGTATTCATTTTTCCTGAAAGATTGATCAATCATAATTAAAAACAAAGTACCCAGCATCCTTATGGCTACTTATACCAGTCCTTTTCTTCTGCCCAAGTTGTTCATGTAAAATGTCTCTTTTCCCTGATTTTTAAACTGCTTTCAAGCTCTTTTTGCAGTGTTTCTCCTAGCCAAGACACTTTTATTTCCAAGTTGACCTCATAGGTGTAGCCCTCTATCTTTCACCTGGACCACTGTGGTGGTCTCCCATTGTCCTCCACTTAAGCTGGTATTTGAGTATTAAGGTCAAATAGGTGATAGATTCTTAATTATATCAATCTCTGGCACTGAGATTTTTTTTAAACACCCTAAGTAATTTTGCAGTACAGCCCTGGAACCATTGTTTTTTAACTACCCCACCCTTAACATTGTTTGAGGAAACTGTTGAAATGCCATCTGTACATGTTATTCACCAGATATATTAAATACAAATTCCAGAACGCAGTATTCAAGTTCTGCTCCAATCTAGTCTCCAGCTGTCATCTTTCTTGATCCCTCCATTCCTGGGAAGCTAAATTTCCAATGTTCTTTGTCTAAAGGAAATAGTCCCCCCCCC